GCCAGGAGCCCCTAGTAGCGACGCCCTTGTTAGTAGCGATGCCAGGAACCCCTAGTAGCGATGCCCTTGTTCCTGGTAGCAAACAAGTCACTTCTCGTCATTTGACACTTCACAAAACTGTGAAAACAGGGCGGCACGACTGGCCACACGTCCAAGTGCCGTCACCTTGGTTGTTAAAAAGGGTCATGTGACAAGGCTTCTCAAAAGTGGCTTCCTGCCAACACTCAGGTCCCTAAAAGGTATCCCTAGTGGCAAGTCCTTAGGTCCTAAGCTAGCAGGTTGCGAACAGATTGCGATCTAGCAGGTGTTTCTTCTTTTTGCTACTGCTCTAACAGTCCGTCCCTTTTCTGCGCCTGAACCTGTCCAGTGCGCTTGTCGTACTTGATGAGGTTGTTCTTGTCGAGCAATGTCAGCGCACTATGGATCTCGGCCGAAAGAATCGGAACGAAGCTTAGAAGCTTGGTACTAAGCTTAGTAAGTAGAAGCTTGAAAAAAGAAGCTTAGTCTGTTTTTTGCTTCCGGAATCGGTTCGTAACAAGAAGCTTTCTAGTTCACAAGAACATTCGGTCTCTAAAGCCCGGATGAACTAGAGCACAAGCGCAACTAGGGACGCAGTCGTCAGGGCCTGGTTGCACTTTTGCTTCAGATGCTTACAGTAATTCTTTGTTTTAAAAAAGACTCTAAAATCGGCGTCAATTCTTCGCATTGCAAGTTCTGCTTCGCCAAAACCAGGGTGCCAGGTCACACACTTGGCCCTTCGCCAGTGCTAGACTCTTCTCGTTACAACGTCAAAATGGAGCGATACATCGAGGGCTCCCTAAGAGCAAAGCGCTAGGCAGAGAAACCGTGTTACTAATAAGAATGCTCCTAGTAGCGATGCCAGGAGCCCCTAGTAGCGTCCTTGCTCCTAGTAGTAGCTCGAGTTTAGATCGGGTTAGCACCTGGACGAGACCGATGACAAGCTGGTTCGAGTCTTTTTGGTTCGTGGAAGACCAAGAATGAACGACACAAACGGATACAGAATGGTATGGATTCGCAACCTTCATTGTTCCACCACACCTTGTGACTAAACATTCAACGCAGCAACAATCCGGTGGCTCAGAAACCGCACCTATTGGCCCCCGAGTTGCACACAAATGCTCGCATGCAGTCCCACTCACCAAACAAATCACGCTTCGCTGTGAGTTCTTTGTTCTTCTACTGTTTTTTGGGGGACAATTGGGGTTGGGGCCGAAGAAGTCTATATTAATTGTAGTAGTCACTGGTGCAAAAAAACATTCTGAACGAGTTTTGAATAGATTTTTGTTTACGTATGCCAATCCTGTATTGCAAAAATGTCTGGGCATCTTTGTCCATCTTACATCTCTCGTCTTGTCATGCCGTCACTGCTTTGCTTTTTCCTGCTGAATTTTGCAAAATGATCTGTTCTGCTCTTGACAAACTCGACCAGTTCTTTGAAAACACCAGTTTTACCTGATCTGTTGGAGTACATGTTGTAAGTATTTTTTGAGAACAAGTAACCATTTTTGAGAATATTATGTTCTTACAGAATACATTTTGTTCGTTCTTTTCTCCAAGGCACCAAGTCTACACGCCTCTGCTCCAGCAAGCGATCCTCCTCTGCCTCATCTGGAGAAATGCCGTAGAGCCTGGGGGCACGCATCATTCGGACCTCAGCAAGGTCCGACAGAAAACATCAAAATAGGAAAGAAAACCGACTTCATGAACTTGGAAAGTGCGAGCAACGAAGGCGAGTTTATTGAGCGTTCATACCTATGCGACCCCAACGTCGACCAAAAATTTGCGGAGCGACTGGCTCGATCTGTTCCTGCGTGACAGGAAAAGAGATCGGGAGTTCATCAGGAAAGTGTGAAGTGCGTCTCTCAGCCCTCGGTTTTCTCGTGGCTAATAATAGGAGGACAAGAGAGGGAATTTACAGCAATCAGAAACCTTTGAGTTGCTCAAGGGTGCCCTTTTTCTGGTGCAGAGGGCGATTAATTAGATGACAAAGGGCGCCCCTTCGAGCTGTGGATGTCCGCAGGAGTTGGGCTTTGGTATGGATCGGAGTTCCTCCTAGTCCTATGCACTGTAAAAGTGAATGGGAGGTGACCCAGGCATTGCATTTTTTTTGTCCAACTACAAAACAGAAGAAACAAACAGCAGGCAAGCGCCCCTCCGTTACTTAAGGGTGCCCTTTTTCAGCTTGAAAATGCCCTTGAACCTACTTATAAAGGGCACCCCACCCCCTGTGCTTGGTAGGGTTCTAGGTTCCCCTAGACGTGTCTATGCTATACATGTGTAGCACCTTTTGCTTGTATATAACTTTGTCTGTATCTTCTTTGTTGTAGAGCTTAATTCACTTGTCTTTTGGCTCAAGATTCAGCCCGCACGCGCTCTCGAATGAACCGTTTGGGGCTATCTTGGTGTTTTCGAATAGGTCCAGCTTGTAGGCTATACTGCCACTTTGGGGGATTCACCCCTCAAAGTGGTAGCGGAGCTTGTGTCTCCTTCTTCGCTTCGTGCAAATTCGCTTCGTGTGTGTTTTCCGGACAGGAGACAACCGAGGATTACCACTGTCTCAAAAAGAGTGACCATGCATGGTCCAGATTCTAGATCATTAACATAGATACGGACAACGAAACAGAGTATAGTCAGGAAGAGTCGGAACCTGATCAGGCATTCGCAGCGTCAAGCTCAATATTCCGAGCTCAGCAATCAAGAGCCTCAGGTTCGACGTTCCGGCCTGACGAAACACAGCCAAAGCCAGGAGTGAAGATGACTCCGACAATTCCCCCATCCTTTGATGGACAATCGTCGTGGTTGAGTTTGAAGATTTGATAGACGATTGGATAAGCATTTACCACACTTTCCGCAGAAAAGCGTGGTCCTTCGCTGAAGAACGCTTCGACCGGAAATGCAGAGTATTATTAAGAAAATGCTCGGCAATCAGCGTCTTCACGACGAAAGGTACGGTATTAACTACGTTCTTTAAGGATACGCTGCGCCCGTACTTTGTCAAAGGAGCCAATGTTCTCCTCTGGCGCTTCATGTAGCTTTTTCGGACTTGGCGCGGAATTTGTTCGTTGGATCGCACGTTTTGAAGTCGCAAGTACTTTCAGAATGACCCAGCACCCTCTGAGAGCCTCTGGGTGGATCTCAACTGCAATCGACATTCTCGACCAGGGTGACGCGCCGATTCTGTTCAGCGTTGAGCAACCTTCGCACGGCCATTGAGCATACACCGGTCGGTGACTTTTTGACTTGCCCATTGTTCGACCTGAAGCATTTTTCGTTGCCAGTGAGCACTTCGAACCATAAATAATGTCTTAGGCATCATGATGTTCACCAGCTCCTCTCGTAAGCCGAATCACAGCTTCACAGCCTTGAACCCTTCGGTTGCACCGTGCCCAGACTGCAACGGTAAGCGCCGGGCACATACTTATAAAGACGGCTACAAGAAGGCAAGTCCGTCCGATATTCCGGATGAGAAGAAGGTCAAACCGACCGATATTCCGGTTGAGACAAAGCCGGAAAAGAAGATCGCCAGCGGAGATGCCAAGATCGATCCGCCTAAGCTGACGACGCCACCTCCGACATTCCGGAGGAAGGAAAAGTCGCCTGATTTCGGAATACCTTTTGAGCATTTTTCGATTCCGAGTTCCAGTTCAGGAGCAAAGAAAAATCCTGATGCTCCTGCACCTGAAGAGCCGGAGAAGCCAGAGCCTCAGGAAGAAAAGCAAGATGAAGTCGAACCAGAGCCAACCATTGAACGAAGAAGAGAAGAAAGATCCCAAGGTTTCCATGACTTTGCCGTTGGCTTTGCAGAGAACTCATGAGAAGCTGTCACATCCAACTGAACTTTTGAAACTGCGTTTGAAACGTTACCACACGTCGACTGAGCAGTTGAAGAAACGGACTTCAGCATAGGAGGAATACGACAAAGTGGTCAAACCGTGTGAGACACGCAGAAGTCTAAGATAGCACCATCTAGATCAATAATTTCAGGCATAAGAAGCGAAACGTTCGATGAACTCACCTCTCGATCACGCCGAACTCGCTACCAACGAGAGTCCAAACTTTTGTTCTTGATTGCTTATGATGGTGCCACTTCTTTGACCACTGTCTATGTATGTAACTGCAAAACAGAAGCAGAAACCATTGGACATCTTTTGAGACGCTTGCACTGTTCATCTAAGCGCAGCGGCTCAGTTACAAGCTTTGAACGAAGGTAGACAACATGTCCACTACCCACAATATCTCTTCGGACCTGGACACTGGCCGGACCTGGGAAGTCGACTAAAGCTTCCGTTTTGCCAGTTTGCATTTTTCGGCAGAGCCCAACAAACCATCATGCCCCCCGAGTTCAAGGGTGTCAGAAAATTGACGAGCGCTGGCAGAGCTAGCCTATCCAGCAAAAGTTCTGACATATCATTGACCACACAAGATGGACAAAGGAGGCGACGATGGACGCTCGGCCGCCATATTCATGGTTCCGGAGCAAGAGAAGAGAGAGAAGATGCGCCAGAAGATCTTCAAGTTCAAGAATCGGACAGCGGGGCCTGTCGCCGAAAACACGGTCAATGTGGCCATTGCAAACATCCGTTCACATGTATTGGCAAGGTGTTGTGGCTAACTAGGCATCATGACGCCACTTTCAATGCGAATGCGTTGTTGGCATGATAATTGCAGATGTCAGCGGAACCTCCTCAAAAGGCACGGAGTTGCTGTCGAACTCCAGCTCTTGATCTGCTCGCTTCCTCCTCTTCCAGCCACTGCTGGCGCGTCTCCTGCCCGCAACATGCCCCAGCTCACCGTTCACAAGGGTCTTCACCAAGTGGGGGGTGTAGTTTCACCCTGGAGAGGAGTTGGAGTGGCATATTACTCAACACGGCGCTGGTCCAGATGGACCTGAGCGACCTCCGGGCGATTGCAGAGCCAGCTAGACCCAGCCTTCATTAATTTGCTCTTCAAGCTCCACGGAGTAGTGTGGACACCACCTTCCGCCTCCTCTTCCATGACCTGGTTTGAAGCTTGGACAACCGCCTCAGAGTGTCCGACATGGCAGGCTCGAAAGAAGAACCACAGGTCGCGCAGGCGGAAGCCCCACCCAAGGGAGGTGAGATCAAAGCCTGTCTAGCCTGAGCCTACCTGAGTGCTTCCGTTAGTTCAGTGGAAGCCTGCGAGGCACTTATCCTCCCATTGCGTTCTAGCCTGGGCTGAGGCGGCCTGGTGACACTGTGTGTGTTGATCGTCGAAACGACCCTTAAGTCTTTCTGACAATGTTGTACACAGTTTCCAGAAGTTTCCTTGAAGAGCCTCAAGTTCATGTCGAAGCTTCTGAAGCTTCCTGTTTTGGATCTAACAAAACAGCCACTAGGTCCAACCGTCCAACCCCTCCTGACCCCTTTTTCACGGCCAACCCTTCCCTGAGCGCAGCGGACGTACAGGTAGGTATAGCCCAGCCAGTTCACAGCATCCTCACGGCGTTTTTTTCGGAAGCGAGAGACGCAAAAAGAAAGCTTTGAGAGACGCAAAAGTGAGAAAGCGCTAAAGGATCCAATGCCAAACAAACAAGCTTGACAGCCTCAAAGCTCTTCAAACAAGTGTTGCACTGCGATGTTAGTCTGTAACCAGGAACGACAATTCTCGGGTGAAGCGAGTAAAACGCTTCTCTTGCTCTTATATTTGTGCTTCCCAAGTCCTGACGTGTCTGAATTGTTCCAAGCACCAGCTCGGCGTTGACCATGTCTGGAAGGATACTGAGAACCTGTGAACGCAACCGAACTCGAAAATACAGTTGGTTGGGCGAGCCATAACATTGGTTGGGCGAGCCGGTTGGGCAGTTCCGCCCGTTCCGGTTGCCTGCGACTCAATGGGCAACTGCTGGTTCATCAATGAGAGGTAGTACCTTCGAGTCCAGAACCCACCCGCTCTCCCCCCCCCCTCCCTACTGAATTAACTAGCTAGCTACTGAACATGGACGCTGGATAGCCCGATAGCTCACGCTTCAAGGAAGGCGGCGGGGGTAGCTTCGAAGAAGCACTCGCAGTATTCGGAAACTGCGAAGAGTTTCGCTGTCTAAAGCTAAAGTGGTGCCTGGTGCGTCTCACCCTTGCAAAATGCAATGGGTTGGGATTTGTTGAACAGGAATCACGACAAGGCCGCAAATAATAAAAACACAAAGCAACTATAAGCAACTGAAGAAAACTACATAAATAAGAAAACAACTGAGGACAACGGAATATAACGGTATCCCGTTCAAAAAATGACAGGCCGACGGGATTTGGGCATCCGCTATCGTTCACCTGTCGGCTGAACAGTCTACATCAGGGAGATCTGTCCTGGCCCGTTTTATGACTTCCATGCATAAACCACAATGGTGTCTATTGGTTGGTTTCAAGATGCTCAATGTCTTCCTTGCGAATCGTTTCACTGGGAATCGTTTCATCTGTAGCAACAATAAAGCTTTCTAGTATGCCTTTGAAGCTTCTTAGTAATAAGGTTTTCTGGTAATTAGAAGCTACTAGGTGGAGGCCATCGCTACTAGTAACAAGAAAACTTTCTAGTAACTAGAAGTTTCCTTGAAAATGTTTTCTTATCTTTCTTCAATGCTTCTCATGGACGACAACGGTGTTTTCATCGTGGTCACTCATGGTCGTCCTTAGAATTTTTTACACAGGACGACTCTTTGCTGTGATTGTTATCCTTGGTTTCTTCGTCTTTTCTTGTCTGTTCTTTGAGGTAGCAAAGATTTAGCTGAACCAAGAGTTAGAATGAAACAGAACATTCAATGTTTTAAAATGTTAACTTCTTTAAAAACAATTTAATTAAAAAAGGTTTTCAGAACGTTTTCGTTTTCGTTTTTCGTGTTTCGTTTCGGTCACTGCAATTCGCTGTGTTGAGTGATGACGATGCCATGGCCCGTCTTGTCGTACTGAGGGCGTCCGGCTCGACCGAGCATTTGCATCCTGGAAAAGCGCAAAAAAACGCACAAGAAAAGCAGTATGTTTTAGATGACGTCTAATTTGATTAAGAAAAGCACCTGAAGTCTAATCTAATTCAAATTAAATTCTATTTATTGTTTCTAATGGCTTCTTGTTACTACTAGTAAGGCACTTGTTACTAGTAGCTTATTGTTTTCGAATAGCTTCTTGTTACTACTAGCAAGGCACCTGTTACCAGTAGCGATGCACTTGTTCCTAGTAGCTTATTGTTTTCTAGAAGCTTCGTTACTACTAGTAAGGCACTTGTTACCAGTAGCGATGCACTTGTTCCTAGTAGCTTATTGTTTCCCAAAAGCTTCTTGTTACTACTAGTAAGGCACACATGTTACTAGTAGCGATGCACTTGTTCCTAGTAGCTTATTGTTTTC